CCAACCCCGCGCTCTGCCCGACACAAGCGCCGACAGCTACCCCTTCAGTTTGTGCCACGGTACCGGCGCCGTGCGAGTCCCTCTCTACCGTTGACGGTCTGGCCCTGATCCCTGCGATCCCGGCCTGTACCGCAGCTCTCGGCGCGTACGCTGTCGGCAACGCCGCGACGTGCCTCGCCACGACGGCCATCAGCGTGATGACCACGGGCTCCTCGATCGTGTCCTGCCTGGAGAATGCGCTCAGCGCCACGTGTATCTCGACGCTGCCGCAGGCCTGTCTCGATCTCGCGGGCGACGATGCGGTGGCGCTGGCCGTGGACTTGCCGCTCTGTGTGACGGCATTGGGGCCGTTTGCGACTGGTGCTGCTCTTGTGTGCACCACATCCGGGCTGACAAATGGCGATTCAGTCATTCTGTGCTTGAGCAATGCTCTCTTTTCTACAAGCTAGGCGGTTGCCGGCTGACATTGATTACTGGTTGTCTTTAATTGGTTTTTTCTCTCCGTTTATTTAGTCTATTCACTTTTTCTTCCTCCCTGCAATTTAGTTTGTTTGTTTTTGATATTTTCTCGTTAGCCTAGTCGCTGGAGTGATACGTCGTCGCGGGGGCACAAAGCTTATTGTGAGGAATCACGATCAACATTTCGAGAAGGAGCCCGTTACCCATAATGCCAACTAGTACGATATTTGACAATTATGTACACATAATTTACATTATGGAATGTTTAAACATTTGATCCTGATGATGATTTCGACGCAGCTCTACATAATTCCTGATCATAAGGCCTTCAAGATTCCTTTGCCTCCAGAACCGCAAACAACACGGCCGCAGTATCAATGTCTTTCGATTAAGAGGCCGAACGGATTATAGGGACTTGGAACTCTGATTATCCCACAACCTTTACACCCAATTCTTCCATCATTGAGATGTCGCGTTCTAGCCCCCACAACATTTGCAGCTGGGGGTCAAGAACCGCGCATGACATCATATAAGGCCAAAGGACCCACGTACACAGTCACAATCACCTTTAAATGTCGTCAAATTTCACTCAACCCCATGAACAAGATCGGAAGGTCGATCGAAGGAAACAGAAAGTCGCAGTCGCTAGGCACCGCGTGCAGTGCGTCCCCCGCTTCTTGCTCACCGGCCCCGGGGCTCGGCATCCCCGACACCCACATCCCGGCAAGCCGGCAGACAGGGCAGACAGGGCGGGCCAATCTGCGTAGGTTAAAGCTTAATAATGGCTGCCTTCCTCCGAGCCAGAACAACCGTAAAACCTTCGTCCGATGATCCGACCTTCCGCTTCAGGAGGCGAGCAGACGGCGACTGGTGGCCCCGGCCCAGCCATAGTTCTCGTTGAGTCGCTGTATGTACGGCGCGGACAAAAAAAGGGGGCCGTTCTGCCCTTCGGTTTCGGTCGGCGATAAGTTCAAAAAGTCTCAAAGAAGAAGCCCGGCAGGGATCTGCAGCAGCCCTCCCCGCACCTGAATCTGTCTATCTGATCCTCCACCTAAATACCTTAGCACGAATAGCTAATAGGCCCCCCGGCTAGTGCCGACGGTGCCACGATGCGCGCCCGCCCCTTAACAGGAAGCTCTTACGCGTCTCACTGGCTGAGCGAGCTCGCATTTGCCCCATAAAGACAAACATAAGACTTGCACCATGCCCCCGTCTGTTCCGTTGCGGCCCCCTTGAACTGGCAGGATTTTCGAACCTTCTTGTCCTCTTACTCAATCTCCCCCAACGACAGAGTGCTCTTCTCTCTCCTCCTTTACCCATCCCGCCGGCCGTTGCAGCTCGTTCTTGCCCCTCTTTCCTGTCAGATTCGCTGTTCCATCTGAGGCTAATCCCTTGAAGGCGCCAAGTGTTCTTGCTTCTAGCCCATCGTACAACCCTACCTGCCTTGCCCAGTCTTGGACAATCAGGAGATTGTCGGTAAAGGAATTCGGGAGTCTACAGCAACCCGACGGCAATAGTCAATTGAGAACAGCAGAGAGAGGTCAGAGTGACGCCAATTACAGATTTGATTCACTCCCCCGACCGCCACCAAAAAAAACGTTTCGGTCTCGCCCCACTCTGGAGACTCTCCCACGATCTTCGAGGGGGCCTCGGCGCCGGTTTCCAGTCATTGAACCGCTGGAACAAGGCACATCAGTCGTCCAAAGGAAGCGAAACCTCATCCAACACGGCGCCCGTCTCAATATCGCTACGCCCGATAAATCATGCCGCCCCGGAAGGGCAGTCCAAAGGTCAAGACGGGCTGCCGGACATGCAAGTGGGTTTTCCCCTCGAAAGCTGCCGCCGCTCCCTTATCTGAACTTTACTGCCAATGCCCTTCTTCTTCTCCGTCCTCTCACACCCCTCCCGTTCTTCCTTTCATTTCGTCCCGACATCGAATCAGTGTTCACATAATCACCTCGTCAAACCCATATCACGATCCCACAAGCCCACAATGGAAACAAGACCAAGAAAACTAACCCAGGCGCCCTTCTCCCGCACAGAGCCCGCAAGGTGAAATGCGACGAGGCCAAGCCGAAATGCGTGCGCTGCACATCCTCCGGCCGCCAGTGCGCCGGCTACGAGCCGACCATCGAACACGGCCTCGCCTGGTACCGCCCGCAGCAGCTCACGGCCCACGACCAGCGTGAAGGCCGCGCCTTCCAGTTCTTCTCGCACATGGTCGGGCCCGTCCTCTCGGGCCCGACGGACTCATACTTCTGGACGCACCTCGTCGTCCAGTTCTCCCACTTCGAGCCCGCCGTCCGCCACGCCGTGCTCGCCATCAGCTCGCTGTACGAGGACTTCCACGAGGGCGAGCGCGTCACCCGCCAGAAGAAGGGCAACGCCTTCGCGATTAGCCACTACAGCGCCGCCATCGAGCGCATCAAGGGCACCCAGGACGAGCAGCTCATGCTGCTCGTGTGCGTGCTATTCGTATGCGTCGAGTACCTCCAGGGCGACGTCGAGGCCGCGCTGCGCCACTGCAAGCACGGCATTCTGATCCTGAACAAGGTCGGCTGCCAGTCGTGGGCGCGCGAGTACGTCATGCCCATCTTCCGGCGGCTGAGCTTCATCTCGTTCTTCCTGGGCGCGAAGCCCTCCGAGGACGCGCTCGTGCCGGGGCTGATCGGGTTCGAGGCGCCGATGCCGCCGCGCTTCGAGAGCGTCGAAGAAGCGCAGAGCGCGATCGACGACATCACGGTGCACGCGATCGAGCTGCTGGCGAAGGGCGACGAGAGCGGCAAGCAGCCGCTGCAGACGCGGCTGCAGGAGTTCCACGGGAAAGTGTGCGAGCTGGACGCGACGGTGCCGCCGCAGGAGAGCTCGAAGAAGATGGCGCTGTGCGGGATGAAGATCAAGGCGGAGATGGCGCGGATACAGGTCAACACGATCGACGGCGAGGGCGAGATGCGGTACGACGAGTGGGCGGACAGTTTCCGGCGGATCGTGGCGCTGGCGAAGCAGGCGGCGGAGATGAAAGTCGCGTTCCCGAGCGAGCGGCCGCGGGCGAGCTTTACGTTTGAGCAGGGCTTCCTGTCGATGATGGGGTTTGTGTCCATCAAGTGCCGGGATTTGCAGACGAGGTTGGAGGCGATTGACCTGATGACGAAGATTCCCGCGCCGAAGGAGGCGTTGTTGGATGTCGGCACGCTGTATCGCGTCGGGAGGCGCGGCGCGGAGATTGAGCACGGCGTGTTGCTGGATGACGGCGTGTTGGAGCGGAATCCCGTGGCGATGGCGAAGCTGTCGTTCCCGCCGGAGGAAAAGAGGTTGATTGGGGCGCCGATAGAGCACGAGCTTGACGTGATTAAGAACGAAGACGGCACGACGTCGTATCGGAGGACTGTGCATTTCCTGAAGAAGGATGCGGACGGGGTGGTTCACGACCAGACGGAGTACCTCCTGGACCAGAAGCCTGGCCAGGTGGTGGTGCCGGATCTGCCATGTATGAGATGTTCGAAGCCTTTGTACGTGTAGTTTTTCTTAGCGATACTGTAGTTTTTCAAAGATTCCCCATTGTCATTGTAGCAGTAGAGGCATAAGACGTGCATAATCGGGTGATGTGCATGCAGGTACCGTCTGTTGGTTGCAGCAGCAGAAGCACCCCAGAGGGCCACAACTTGCAAGGTCCCCCGGAGCTCCATAGTCGATTTAAGTCTAAAATCTAGATCAGCCCGGTGGGATGCGAGATGTGAACGGACCCCACAAGGCGCTCGTCGGGTTGTTCCTGAATGTTTTCTGTTTCTTGGCGACCTTTGCTCCGGGCTTCTCCCGATGCTACGTTCTTACACTCAAAGACACCACCAACCTCGAGCCCTCGGCCGAGCGTTACGCATCTTCTTGACCTCCGACCGCTCGGTCAAACGGCGATGATGAATCGTCCAAACATTTCCATCAGCAGCAAACACGCGATGACACCCCGACGCATCTCCAGACGGTCCCAGTCGGCCGGGATGAGACGACGGGGCGGGGCGGGGACGGGTGGGGCCAGTCCGACTCACGCTAAATTGGATCCCGCGCGTTCGGTCCGGGCCCACAGTGGGGCTAACCCGAGGACTATTAAACCCAGCCGATCGCCGCCCCCAACACGACCTACCATAAACACATGGCAAAGGAAGTTCAATGCAAAGGGACCTCGCACTTGGCCCGCATCGCACTACACCTCCTAGACAGCGGCGTGCCGAAAAGTTCAGACACGGCCGCAGCACTCGGGTCCCGACGTCGTAATGCGCGTCAGTTGGGGTGCAGAATTCGCCGAGATTTAAGGGACGATCGAAATAGGGAAAAATATCCAGTGCCATGGCGAGCACTTCGGAATTCCCGGTGGTCTGTACACGGCTGCCGGTTGAGGTGAGACATACAGATATAAACGCCTCGCCTCTGCCACCATCACCGTCTTGAATATCTCTTGACTTCAGCCTCTCACTTCCCTTCTCTCTCTTGCCTCTGGTAGCCAGACAACCTCCCTACCAGACCTCATCCAGGCCACACTGCCCAACATGTCCTCCTCTTTTCGGGCCCTCGCGGCGGCCATCGCACCGGCCGTCGTCTACGCGGCAACCCTGCAAGATGTCTGCACCACGGAGCACGCCCAGCAGGCCCTCCCCGCCGCGGGCACTATCCCCGGCGTTACCATCGACTCCGCCTCCGTCCAGACCGCCGTCGTCACCGGCGCCAATGTCTCCTCGGAGTGGTACCCCTCCGCCACCATCGACTACTGCAACGTCACCTTCGCCTACTCCCACGACGGCCTCGCCAACGACGTCGTCCACGTAACCTACTGGGTACCCGCCCCGGACGCCTTCCAGAACCGCTACGTCTCCACCGGTGGCGGCGGCCTCGCCATCAACTCCGGCTCCCAGTACATCCCCACCGGCATCATCGCCGGCGCCGTCTCCGGCATCACCGACGGCGGCTTCGGCGACTTCAACACCCAGTGGGACGCCGTCTTCCTCGCCGCCAACGGCACCATCAACTGGCAGTCCGTCTACATGTTCGGCTACCAGGCCCACAACGAGCTCGCCGTCCTCGGCAAGCAGTTCGCCCGCAACTTCTTCGCCGTCCCCGCCGAGACAAAGCTCTACTCCTACTACCAGGGCTGCTCCGAGGGCGGCCGCGAGGGCTGGAGCCAGGCCCAGCGCTTCGGCGACCAGTTCGACGGCGTCGTTGCCGGCGCCCCCGCCTTCCGCTACGGCCAGCAGCAGGTCAACCACCTCACTGCAAACGTCATGGAGACCACCGCCAACTACTTTCCGCCGTCGTGCGAGCTGGAGAAGATCCTCAACCTCACCATCGCCGCCTGCGACCCCCTCGACGGCAAGACCGACGGCGTCATCGCCCGCTCCGACCTCTGCAAGATGACCTTCGACTTCAACACCACCGTCGGCCAGGCGTACTCCTGCGAGGCCACCTCCGGCAGCGGCACCGGCGGCTTCGGCGACCTCGCCAAGCGCCAGGGCCCGCCCTCCAACCCGGGCCCCGCCCAGAACGGCACCGTCTCCGCCCAGGGTGCCGCCCTCGTCAAGCAGTACTACGACGGCCTCATCGACTCGCAGGGCAAGCGCGTCTACCTCAACTACCAGCCCGGCTCCGCCTTCACCGACGCCAACGCCAAGTTCGACTCCGCGACCAACACCTGGGGCGTAAGCATCTCCGGCCTCGGCGGCGAATGGGTCGCGCGCTACCTCCAGCTGCGCGACACCTCGACCCTCGAGTCCCTGACCAACGTCACCGCCGACACCCTCCGCGACTGGATGCTCTACGGCATGAACAAGTACGCCGACTCCCTGCAGACGACGCACCCGGATCTCTCCGCGTTCCAGACCGCCGGCAGCAAGATCCTGCACGTCCACGGCGAGCAGGACGACTCCATCCCCGCGGCGTCGTCGGTGCACTACTACGAATCCGTGCGCAGCATCATGTTCCCGGGCCAGGGCTTCAACGAGAGCTCCGCGGCGATGGACGAGTTCTACCGGCTGTACCTGGTGCCTGGTGGCGCGCACTGCGGGGCGAACTCGCACCAGCCGGGCGGTGGGTGGCCGCAGACGACGCTGCAGACGGTGATTGACTGGGTTGAGAAGGGGGCTGCGCCGGACACGCTGAACAGCACCGGGGAGGGGATCGGTGAGCTGTGCAGGTGGCCGCAGCGCCCGCTGTGGACGGATAACGGCGCCGGGTTCAGCTGTGTGTATGACCAGGCGTCAATTGATACCTGGAAGTACACGTTTGATGCATTCAAGATGCCTGTTTACTAGGTGGTGAAGCGGGAGTATCTGCAGTAGAGGAGTAATCTCGCTGAGTAGTGTAATTTCCTTGTACATATTGGAGGATACATAGCTGTACAAACGCACTTGACTCATCTTTATTAATCTCGCTGTGAGTACCTTGATATTCGATTCTTTAACCAGGACTGGAACTTTATGGGCTCCTATTCAGTGGCTCACCACGTGGGTGGACTTCTGCCTTCGAACAAGAAAATTCGAAACGGTCAAAGTTGGCGAGAAGACCCGCAGTAAATAGGAAGTCCTCAGAGTCCGATGCTGATGCTGTAGATATTGATATGATCTGAAATGCTACTAGGTAGGGTATACTTCGTATTACAAAGTCTTCATTGTTCACCCAACAGGCCACAATGACCTCACTCTGGCTTCTGTCCGTAAACAACGTAACTATAACCAGGGTCAGTCTGCAAACGTTCCGCACCAGCTGAACAAACAGTAGGGTCACTCACATGGGCCAGTACGAATGAATCGCAGTGTTCTTCATATCCTTCCTCACCTCCGCCAGAAAAACGTCCACACTCTCCTTACTCCACCCAAGAACGCGGGTATATACCGCCACACTCAATGCCTCCAGTCCCGAAGTGATGTTCTCGAGTGTCCACAAACCTGCCCCGAACATAGTCAGTCATTTACACCAGAATCTCACCGTAAAAAGGGCCTCCTCCAATCGACGACTCACCAAGCTCCTTGTATCTCGGATCCCTAGGCCACCTATTCTGCGGCCACTTAAACACCACCTCCCTCACATTCACAAACCCTGCCTCCTCAAGCTGCTTCTTATACAGCTTCGCGCCGTCAAACGACCGCCCCACCGCCTGCGTGCCCTTGAGCAGCTGATCGCTCCACCGCCACAGCGCCGTCTCCTCCGTCAGCGTGCCGTCGTCCGACGTAATCGGCGTGATGTCCGTGACCTCGATCCACCCGCCGGGGTTCAGGTTCTCGAACGACTGGCGGAACATTTTCGGAAAGTCCGCAATCGCCGAGGTCATCATGCGCGAGTACACAAAGTCGAACTTCTGCGAGAACGTCCACGGCTCCTCCTCGATGTCGTCGATCTGGAAGTGCACGTTGGGCGGGACGAAGGCCGGCTGGATGGGCGAGAGGTCGACGCCGATGATGGTCGCGGACGGGTGCAGGTCGCCAAAGTCGGCGGCCCAGATGCCGGTGCCGGTGCCGATGTCGAGCACGCGCTGCGGCGGCTTGGCGGGGTCGAGAGGCGCGAGGTGCAGGCGCTCGTCGAGGGTGAGCAGGAAGAGATGGTGCTGCAGGTCGAGGCGGTCGGACTCGGTCTCGTCGTTGGGGATGAGGTAGGCCCCGTCTTTGTAGGCGTGGTAGGTGCGCCCGTTCTCGTGGCGGTACTGGAGGATGGAAGAGCGCAGGGAGGCGGTGGAGGATTGGAGCTCGACGCCGAGGGAGGAGTCGGAGTCGGAGTTGTCGGGGTCGTCGGTGTTCGGGTCGGCGGCGGGGGTCCCGGTTGTGGGGGCCGGGTCGGCCTCGAGGGCGGCGGGGGGGACCGGGGCCGGGGTCGGGTCTGGTGTTGGGGCGGACATTGTGTAGGTTATCGGGCGACTTCGAAAAGAAGTCTCTCGGAGAGGTGTTTGGGAGAGAATGAGAGGCGGAGGGGGAGAGGAAAAAGAAGAAAGGACGTGGGTTCAAACGGGGACGGCGTAGTCCTGGTGGAGGCATTTGTTGTGTCTCGGAGGGTTTGCGGCGATGCGGCCAGTCCGGATGCGGATTGCGATTCCGGAGGGTGGGTGGAATGCATGGCCAAAGCCTATGTTTTCCGCAATATCAATGTCGCTGAGTGTCTGCCTGACTTTTGAACCGGGGTATGAATTGACTGCAGCAGGATTGAAAGGCCCGGTCGACATGATGTTTATGTTGGATTAACGACTGTGTCTGGATAAAGGGATGCTAGAAATGCATTGAATAATATGCAAGAACCGGTGATGATGGGTAAATACAAGACAGAACCCCGCTCGGACCTGGATAGGAGGAAATCCCTCAATCAAGCAGAA